GGCCTTTGGGCTGGAACATTCAGGGTAGGGGTGGGTATGCCGATCAGGAGGAACTGTAAAGGTAGGGACTGAAGGATGCTGGGAAAGCCTGGCTGCTAGGTTCACCTTGGTATGCTAAATAGGCACCTCAGTTTGTCCTGGGTTTGAAAATTAACAAGAGAGGCTTTATGTCCTCCTCTGGGCTCTGCACACATGTATGTACCTCCTGACAAACTCACAGCATCATACACACACAAAACAGGGCAGAGACACTGGAAGTGTGATCTACAAGATATATAAATACAGCAGGCTGATCCACAGTGCATCTGACACCAGCACACATGGCCAGCCCCATGCAGAAGACACCGGGCACACAGAATGTGTTTGGCCATTATTAGATGGCCGTGCAGCTATTTTGTGTGTGAACACAGTGAGTGGTTCCCTCCCACCACCGTCTCCAGGCCTGTGAAGAAGGAACTACACTAGGACCAGTGTTGGCAGGGACTTTCCAGGGCCACAAGGTGTACACAGTCCTAAGGTGTGATGGATCACACGGATGTGTGGGGAGTGATGCTTGTTGTGGTAAAACTCTGCCCTGTTTCCTGAACCCCACAGCATGGGCGCTTGTCACTCCTTAGGTGAAGGAAACCCAGAAAAGGGAGGAGGGTTAATGGAGTGAAGTTTCCTTTACAGGTCATGTCAGAAACAATCACAGGCCTGACCCTGAAATTTACACCAATTTCATCAGGAAGTGTACCTCCTTGGGGATGTAGGGCAAGTTTTCCACCTGCTTCACAGAGCTCCAGCATAACTTCCTGATGGATCATCTACCCAAGCTGAAGAGTCTCATCCGTATGGTCAAGCACTGGTACCAGCTGGTATGGCGTCTGGCCCATCCACTGTGAGCCCCGTCTATACACTGAATACAGTCAGAGAATAGAAAGGGTGTTCTAGTTTGCTTTCTTTTGACAGGATATCTATATCACATGACCAAAACTCTCCTGGGAAGAAAATGTCTTATTAGGTTACACATCCCAGTCACAGTCCTTCACTGAGGGAAGAACGGTCAGTACCTGAAGCAGAGACCATGGAGGAATTCTGCTCACTGGCTTGCTCTCCATGGTCCCTGAGCTTGCTCTTTTATACAACCTACAGCCTCCTGCCTGGGCACGGCACTAACCACATCAATTACTAATCGGTGACATACCCACAAAGACCACCCGTACCAAGTATCATAGAGTCATTTTCTTGATTAAGGTTCCCTCCTACTAGGTGACCCCATCTGACTTCTAATTGACAAAAACTAATCTTCACAAATAAGCGCCTTTCAATTTGATACTCAAACACATTACTATAAAACCATATCTTTTTCTTTCTTGCTTATTCCTAAGATCTCAAGTCAATATCACATCATAGAAACACAACATAGCTTTAAAAGTCCCAAAGTGTTTTATTCTTTTTAATTTCATCACTTGTAAAGATTAGTCTCTCAACTGTGGGCTCCTATAACATTAAAAACACAAGTTAATGCACGCCTCGTGGTCCCGAATTCTTTGCTCATGTTCTCCCTCCTTCTGCTCCTCCTTGGGACCTTGGGAGCTCAGTCCAGTGCTCCTGTGTGGGTCTCTGTCTCGATCTCTATCCATCACCAGATGAAGATTCTATGATGATATGCAAGATATTCGTCAGTATTGCTCTAGGATAGGGTCATTTCAGGTTCCCAATCCTCAGCTGCCCAAGGAACTAACTGGGAACCTCATCTTGGGCACTAGGGAGCCCCTCTAGGGTCAAGTCGCCTGCCCACCCTAAAGTGGCTCCCTTAACTAAGAATTGTGGTTCCGTGCTCCCCTATCCACCCTTCCTTCATCCCAATTCTCCCGCTTCCCAGGTCCCCCCTCCTTCCCTTCTACCTTTTCTCTCTCCCCATCTCCCCTGGAGCTCACCAAGGCCAGCTGGACTGTGACCGAAAAAGCATGGGATAGGACCGGACTCTCTGAACATGGCGAACAATGAGGGCTGATGAGACACCAAGGACAATGGCAGGGGGTTTTGATCCTACTTAATGTGCTGGCTTTGTGGGAGCCTAGCCAGTTTGGATGTTCACCTTCCTAGATATGGACGGAGAGGACCTAGGACTTAACACAGGGCAGGGAACCCGGACTGCTCTCTGGACTGGAGAGGGAGGGGGAGAGCAGTGGGGGGAAGGGGAGAAGGGTGGGAGGAGGGGGAGAAGGGTGGGAGGAGGGGGAGAAGGGTGGGAGGAGGGAAGGGAAATGGGAGGCTGGGAGGAGGTGGAAACTTGTTTTTTGTTTATGTTTTTTTTTCTTCTTTTCGCAATAAAAAAAAAAAACACAAGTTAAATACTTCTTTATTCCAAGAAGGAAGAAATGGAAGAACCAGGACATGGTCACAATCAGATGATGCTGCCTATGATTCCAGTCTTGCCCCTTCTGATACACCCCCAGATACACAAAGGTTTGAATCAACAATGCCCAGGGGTCTCCTATATCTCCTACCAAGCTGAGGGCACCCATCATATCACTCATCATGTATTCCACGCTATAGCAAGTCCACGGGAGATATTTCTCCATGAAGAATGGCTTCCTCGTGTGAGAGCAGAAAGGCAGCAGGGGTGTGGCTCAGCTGGGAAGGACTTGTCTGGAGTGTTCCAGTGAGAGACCATGGGTGTGACTCAGTGGCAGAGTGCTTACCCAGCATGCATGAGGCCTGGCATAAAAGAATCATCCTGAGTTGTCTGTGGTTTTGATGTCAGAGCCAAGAAAACAGCCGAAGTCATCATGGCTAAGATAATCTGTTTTCTAGGGATTTCTGCTTCCATTTTGGATGGCCTATATACATGCCCAAGGTGAGGGTGGGATTTATTCTTGTCAATGGAGATCCAGCTTTCCCAATTCCCTCTGCAGAAGAGCCCTTCTTCCCAGTTATGTGTTCTTGGTAACCTGGTCAGAAGCCACTTCACCATTCTGATATAGTTGGTTTTCTCAAACATCGTTCAGGCCGTGTGAATCCAGAGGAAACTGCACAGATGGGGAGGAGCGCTGACAGCAGGCTATGAGTGTTGCTCAGTGAAGGAAGCAGTCAGAAGACATTTCTATAAATGCCCTCGACATGCCTAGAGGTGCTTCCACAGAGGGTCTAAGGTTGGTGAAGTTGGTCATGAAGATGAGCCATCGTGGGCCATTAGAAGGAACCACAAGAGATAGCTAGAGGGTGAAGGCAGTGGCTGTCACAGCAGCTTCCTCCCCACACCCCCAGTTCCTGACATGAATTGAACTTCAGAGTTGAACCCATTGAGTGTAGATGAAGTGGCTTCCTGGGGAACTGAACCCTGTGGTCAAATGGTGGACAGAGCAATGCTTCTCCCAATGGACATACACTCCTTACTCAGTGGGTGGTCCCTGGAGAGGAGGGAGCTCCTGGACCTCAGGCAGAAGATTAAAGTTGAAGACTAGGCTTGAAAACCCAAAGTGTCTGTCATCAAGCCTTGCCATTCCCCTGGCCAGGATGGATGCTAAGTCAGAACCAAGATGGCACCCACAGGAAGAGCATGGATGAGCACTGTGCTTAGGGCCAAAGGGCTCTTGGGCAGGTCCAGTCTGGAGCAAGCATGACACTGTTCAACATGGCTGTCAGACACAGTGGTATGAAAGTGTCAGTTGTGGTCATCTTACTCCATCGGAGAGATGATCTTCAGTCTCCCTGTTGTCATGGAAACCTGACCCAGCCACCTTATGGCTCCTCTGTAAGGCAGCTCATCACTCATTCCTGTAGCCTGCTGTTAGCCTCCATAGTCCTAATCATTGGGAAGGCTCTGCAGGGCCACACCAGGGATCATTCCATCATAGAGACATGGGATGTAACCATTATATATCACATGTATATTTGCTTGCTAGTGTGAGGTACATGATGGCTCCCCTCAGGTTGGCAGGATATATGAGGGACCCCTGGGCCTTGGTTGTTAAAACCTTCTCTGTGTATATGGGGGTGTTTCAGAAGAGGTAAGACTGGAATAGTAGACCAGCATCACCAGGGTCACCAGGGGCTCAGATAGAGCACAATGCAGAGTGTGATTTGTTCTGAGGTCTAGGGGACATGCATTTTCTCACACTCTGGGACACTGGGGCTACTGGTTCTCAGGGCTATTAGAGAAGAACTGAATGAATGAGGACTGGAAGGACACACACACACATACACACACAGTTATTAAGAGAGTGGGCACTGGGGACAGGAGCAGGCTTTGGGAGCAGGTGCCCTGTGCAATGCCCTGAACTCTTAAGTAAGCAGGGTACAAGAGTTGAGGTCACATGGTTGTCTTTGGATCTGACAAATGAGCCGCTGGTTCACAACACTGGACTATGGAACCATTAGGTTTCTGTGTGGAGGGTGTGTGTGTGTGTGTGATTCCAGAGCTCGGGAGACTCAGGCAGGAGGATGCCTATGAGTTTCAGGTCAGACTGTCCCACATAATGAGGTCTTGTCTCAGAAAGAGAAAAAGGAAGCAGACACCCACTGTGATTTAACTCAGTGCATCAAAAGTTCATCGTCACCACAGACAAACATGTGTCTGTTTTTGTGACCACCAGTCTCACAAATTCAGTTCATTTTTGTCATGCCTCTTCAAACCCCAGCCTGCATATTGCAGCCACCATGCCACCATGCATCTTCATGTGCACTGCTCACACTCCCAGGTCCCCGTGGCCATGCGCAGCTGCAGAACAGCTTCTGAGTAGATGGGACAGGTATTGAGTCTTGTCTTGGGGACATGGACAGAAGGAACCAGGAACACTGTCCTGAGTTGAGAAGTAAGAAACCTGGAAGGAACCAAGCCATGCGGCATCATCGCTGTCAAGGATTGGTTCTGCTCTGTCCACTGAGGAGTGCTCAGTGCCTGGACCCCTGGACCATGTAGTGTGTGCTCAATAAATGCACCTAACTGAACCATGAAAACAGAAAGAGGGGGGGGGGGGTATCGGGCTCGTCTCACACACCCTCATGGCATCTGCTGTGGTTTATTATTGTTGATCAGACATTGGACAAAACAGGTGCAGAGACAGAAGTCAAACTTGAGTTCTCCCCTCCCCTTCTGAATCTCATGTCCCCGAGAGAACGCTGTCAGGGGATAAGGTGGATGAAGCAGGCTATGAGGAAAGCTGTCTATGATTGGATAGGATGGAAGACTTAGCAGGCAGGGATCGGAAGCCTGGAGTCTGACCCCAGGTTGGACATTCCCTCCCTGAGGCCTTGGGCAGTATCCTGCCCTCTTTGGTCAAGGCCTGCACATCCCCTGACTCTGGAGCCTTCTGGGCATATGCTGCTGTGCTCACAGGAGATGAATGCCCCATTCTCGTTCACCTGGGGAAGAAGAAAGGCAGAGTACATCAGGTCTACACTGCAGTCTTTCCAGCTCTGAGGCAGGAGGATAGTGAGCTCAGGGCAGCCTGGTCTACATAGCTAAAGCCCACATCAAAACAAACAAAAACAACAAAAAAATAGCCAACCTGTTATTGTGGCACAGGAACTTCCGTCTGTAACAGAAAACACACAATCATGTCATGAGCCCGCACTGCTACTTGGAAGCAGATGCAAATGAGTCCTCAGGGTGGACACCATGACTGGCCACCTGGAGCCCCTGAGAAGGGACAGTGCATCCCCATGTTGGGAAGATGGCCATCGGGACTTTTGGGGATGGACAGGGTCTTAGCAGGTTGAAGGTGTACATAGCCCTACCTGAGTTCCCCTCATTCAGTAACAGACCTGCCAAATGAGAGACAGGGCCAAGCCACAGTCTGCTGTGAGACAGTCCTAAAGGCCACAGCAGGCACAGTTGTCTTCCTCCTGAGTCCCTTCTCCTTTCCTTCCTGACCTTCTGAGGTTTGCTTCCCACATCCATGCACCCATGCTAAGCTCCATCCTGAGTTCACGTATGACCTCATCTCTTCCCTAGCATCAGACAGCTCCATATCCAATGAGAGAAAAGGTCCAAGTACAAGTCCCTCTGTGTCTCTTTGGCTGTGACACGGCCCTGCTGAGTCCCATTGGCCACATGATGATGAAACAGGAAAGACGGGCTGCTTAAAGGACCTGAGAACTGGCTTCAAAGTTCACAGGAATCCCAGCCCCTCCTTTCCTTAGTTGAACATTTCTGAGCCAGTGGCTTCAGCTTTCTTATCCTAGTGGTCAAGTGTGTGTGTGTTTCTGTATGCATGTGCATTTGCATGTGTATATATGTTTGTGTGTATATGTATTTGTGTGTGTGCAATCAACAGAGAACACTATAGCCCTCAACTGTTGTCCACCTTGGTATTTTGGTTGCACTGGACTGGAATTCACCAAGGAGACTATGCTCCCTCACCAGTCAGGGCAGGGATCTTGTTGTCCGTGCACTGGAATGGCAAGTGCAATGTCTGGCTCACCTACATGATTCTGGGGATGATATTAAGCTCCTTACCCTTGCTAATATGACAAGTGTTTATTGACTAAACCATATCATCAGCCCTGAGCCTTCTTGTTCAACCAGAAAGACAAGGATGTTATTAAGTACACCCTGTAGAGCCCTAGTGAGGATCCAGTGACATACTGTATGATACAGAACACAGGACAAAGTGTGTGTGCAGATCCAGAGAGCTATTGTATGATAAAGAACACAGGACGAGCGTGTGTGCAGATCCAGTGAGATACTGTATGATAAAGAACACAGGATGAGTGTATGTGCAGATCCAGTGAGCTACTGTATGATACAGAACACAGGACGAGCGTGTGTGCAGACCCAGTGGGCTACTGTATGATACAGAACACAGGGTGAGTGTGTGCAGATCCAGAGAGATACTGTATGATAAAGAACACTGGACAGAGCATGTATGAGGACCCAGTGTATGATAAAGAGTGCAGGACAGAGCCTGAACAAAAAGCAGACAGAGGAGAGGCCGTCCTTCCTTAGGAGGCCAAGTGACAGGAATTCTGCAGGGGTGATGTGACAATCTCTGAGAATAACTGTACAGCAATCAGTGTGACAGGAAAACCTATAAGCCTGGGCATCGTTGTCTGAATATTCTTGAAACAGATGGTGTGACCAGATGTGTGTGCAAGGGGACAAGATGATGATAATTTCTCACCGGCACATCCCAGGATCTCACTAGGGAACCATCCCAGTTTTTAAAGCATGGGTATTGTAGCCAGGCTGCAGCCTCTTCTGCCAGCTGCCGCCAGCCCTCTGAGTTGGAACCAGCCACGTTCCCTGTTGGGTCAGCCGGGTCCAGGATCACAGGCCTGCAGAGCAACATTCAGAGAGGGAGCTGACCAGCTGACCAGTGCCACAGATGACATTGCACAGGGACAGGGAGGAGCCCAGCAGAGCTCAGCTATTGACAGTTTGTCCTGAGTTCCTGTCCCAGAGCATAGAGAAAGCCTGGAGAGATCCCTGGACATGACTTGGAATGGCTGTGTTCCAATCCTCTACCCTTTAGTAGCTGTGTGTCCTGGGTCAGGTCCCTCAGCCTCTCTGGTCTGTGAAATGGAGAGAGTTGAACCAGCCCATCTCAAAGGATGAGGTGTGAGGGTAGAACGCAACACACGATCAAGGCTGTAACAGGTCTACTGCATTGTTTACTGTTCATTAGTCCAGCACTGTTCTGTGCCTCGCAGCCCTTACCATACTGTTACAGCTGGAACAGCTCAGTTCCTGCTCCATGCACTCCCCTCTCTGCTGTTTGGGTCTGGACAAGGTCAGAGCCTTGGTTTCCTCATCTGCAGACAGGAGAACCCACCCCTGCCTCTTAGGGCTACAGGTCCTCATGTCAATCAGGTGACAGCAGAATAGTGCCCAGCACAGTGACAGGACAGGAGATGCTCCATTGACACGGAGCTCCCACCTCCCCATTTCCACTGCTATAGCCTGGAGCCCCTGGTGAGGAACTGAGTCATGAGGGGACAGGCTACCTGGTTCTTCTGAGCTGACTGAGCAGGTAGCTGGAGATGTATTGGTCTTGAAAGTCATAATACTTTGTCCAGTAGATTCGAAGCTGCCTGTACTTGGTGACCAGTTCCAAGACTGTCCGGAAGCCCTGGGCTGTGTTGAACTCAGTGTTTCCACTCCCACGTTCCCAGGCGTAGACTGTGAGCAGCTCCAGGGCATACTGTGGGGGCAGCGGCTTCTTCCGCTTCTTCCGCTTCTTCGGCTTCTCCTTACACTGAGAAGAGAAAGGTGATGAGAAGAACAGGGCTGTCAGCTGTATGGGGACCACTTCTCACGGGGTCAGTTCTGCTGCCACCTGATGTCATCACAGGCTTACTGACACACAGTCATACCCGTTCTTGTAGATTCGGTCTATGTGCACTACCATGCTATAGCCAAGGGCTGTGTGGTTGACATGGAGACCATGTGGTTCACAGAGACTGAGCATTTACCGGCAGGCACAGGAGGAATCATGACACAGTGATTGACAGCCAGGGAGTGAGGGATAGTAATGGTGCTCACCATTGATGGTTTTATCACAGGGCTGAAATAACTGGGGAAAGGCTAGGGAGATGCCCCGTGGGTAAAGTGACATCCTCTCCTTGCAAGGGTGAGGACCAGAGCTCAGATCCCAGAAAACACATGACTGTCAGGCTTGTGAGGAAACCCACTCCTCATCCCAGCCTAAGTGTATGGAAATGGGGGTCCCCGGGACTATATGACGATCCAGAAGTGCTAATTCAGCACACTGTGGGCTCAAGTGTGAGACCCTGTCTGGACATATAATGTGGAGAGTGACTGAGGACCTGGCATCGCTCTCTGGTCTCCACATGCTTATGTACACACATGCACACACATAGACAGGTGCTCCCAAGAGCAGGTATACATATACCACACCAGATCTATCTCACACACATATAAAAACTCCAGAAACATTGCAGGATGGAAATGTAAAGAAAGCATCGCTTGACACATCAAGAAAATCTAAGTCATTGTAAGTACCCTGCATTAAAAAGACACTAGAAATCCATAAATCATGTTTAGTGTGAGGGTGTGTATCTTTTATCCCAGCAATAGGAGGCAGAGGTAAGCAGAACTGTGGGTTCAAGGCCAGCCTGGTCTGCATAGTGAGTTCCAGGACATCAATAGCTTCCTAGTGAGACCCTGTCTCTAATGCAAGAAAGAAAGAAAAATCCAGAGTTCACAATAACTCGTGAACAATGAATTAGATGCAGCTGAAGAGTGGGTTAGCTGAACGGAAACTGGACTAGAAGAAATCATTCCTAATAACATGGGAAGCCCTCCTTCCTCCCAGGTTCTCCCTCCCTCCGTCCTTCCTCCTAGTTCCTCCCTCCCTCCCTCCCTCTCCTACAGCATCTCCTCCCTGACTTCCCCTTCCCCTCTCAACTCTCTTTCCCTTCCCACTACTGCTTCCCTCCCTCCTTGCTCCTCATCTTTCTTTCTCTGCATCACCCCCTCCATTCTCTGCCCTGTAAGATGTGGCCCACAGTGGCTGGACCAGATGCCATACCAGTTGGTACCAGTGCTTGACCAGGCGGATGAGACTCTTCAGCTTGGGTGGCCGATCCTTCAGGAAGTTTCTCTGGAGCTCGGTGAAGCAGGTGGAGAACTCGCCTTCCTTCCTCAGGGAGGTGCACTCAATGATGAGGCTTCTGTAGATTTGGGGGTCAGGTTTCCTGTCAGTGCTGACATGACCTGTAAAGGAGGCCTTACTCAGCTAATTCTCCAGCCTTTCTCTGGCATTCCTGGCTCTTTTGTGGGGTGACAAGTTCACAGGTTATGGGGTTCAGTGAAGCGACCAGAGTTTTAGCAAGCATCACTCCCCATACATCCATGTGTCATCCCTCACCTCAGGACTGCATGCATCATGCGGCCCTGGAAAGTTCCTGACACCAACTGGTGATGGAGGAAGGTCATTGGTTAATTATAATAAAGAAACTGCTTAGCCCTCCTCATAGGTTAAAACATAGGTGGGAGGATTAAACAGAACAGAATGCTGGGAGGAAGAGGAAGTGAGCTCAAAGGCCATGCTCCCCTCTCCCGTGCATACACGAAGCTCCGACCCAGGATGGACGTAGGCTAGAATCTTCCCGGTAAGTGCACCTTGGGGTGCGAAACACATTATTAGAAATGGGCTAGTCCAGGTGCGAAAGTTAGCTGAGAAGAGGCTAGATATAATGGGCCAAGCAGTGTTTAAGAGAATACAGTTTCCGTGTAATTATTTTGGAGTATAAAGCTAGCCGTGCGGGAGCTGGGCGGGATGAAAAGCAGGCCCGCAGCTCCCTACTACAAACTGGTCCTGGAGACAGTAGTGGGAGGAAACAGCACACTGAGGCCACAATCAAGAGAGCCGCACAGTCATCTGATAATGGCCAACCGTGCCCTGGAGTCCAGCATCTTCTGCACGGTGCATGTCATGTGTGTACACTCCTGCTTGTGTCGTGGTATACTGTGGAGCACTTTGATATATTTTATATCATGGACCGGCTTACGGTGTCTCTGTCGTATTTTTGTCTGGTGTATATACATCATTTGTGTGTGTTTTGGAGAAAGTATACACTTATGTTAAGAGTTCATAGGAAGACATAAGGTGTCTCCCTTTGAGAAGACCAGCAGAAAACGGACATTCTCCTGTCTCTGGCCATGTAAGTCCTTGGTTAGAGGTCAGTTGTGGTCCTTTCTGTTTAGGTGAGTGTTGAGGATTTGAACTCAGGTCTTCATGCTTGTGTAGCAATCGCCTTTATCCACTGAGCTGTCTTCACCAACAGCTGTGCGTTTTCACTGGATGACTTTCTATCGTACCTAAATGAATATCACGTGGTTTTGTTTGCCCAGGTCCTAAGAGGAGTAGGGTGTGTGTGTTGTTTCCTGAGCTTGTAGAGTGGTTAGGCAGCAGGCTAGGGAACACATATGGCTGTGTGACTGTGTGTGGGTGCATGTGCACATCTGAGTAGACTAGACAGGCAGCAGGCTGTGTCTCAGGCGTGTGCACATCTGAGTAGACTAGACAGGCAGCAGGCTGTGTCTCAGGCATGTGCACATCTGAGTAGACTAGACAGGCAGCAGGCTGTGTCTCAGGCGTGTGCACATCTGTGTAGACTAGACAGGCAGCAGGCTGTGTCTCAGGCGTGTGCACATCTGTGTAGACTAGACAGGCAGCAGGCTGTGCCTCAGGCGTGTGCACATCTGTGTAGACTAGACAGGCAGCAGGCTGTGTCTCAGGCGTGTGCACATCTGTGTAGACTAGACAGGCAGCAGGCTGTGTCTCAGGCGTGTGCACATCTGTGTAGACTAGACAGGCAGCAGGCTGTGTCTCAGGCGTGTGCACATCTGTGTAGACTAGACAGGCAGCAGGCTGTGTCTCAGGCGTGTGCACATCTGAGTAGACTAGACAGGCAGCAGGCTGTGTCTCAGGCGTGTGCACGTGTGTGGCCACGGTTGTGGCAGACCTTACCATCAGGCTTTGATGCTGGCACATAGCAAAATCACTCTGTGATACTGGGACATGCCTGTCACTCAGCGACCCAGGAGAGTTTCAGCTTCAAGGTCCACCACACAATGGGGCATCGACTAAGTCGTCTTGGGTAGAGTTGTGAGTGAGGTCCTTTCTGGGGCTGTCACTCACTGTCATTTCCAAGGCGGTCCTACTGTGGTGGCCCCACTTCCCTACTGAAAAGCTGCTGAGGCTGGGGATGTCCATGGCCAAGACAGCCTTCTGGAGAATCACCTCCCAGTTCTTTCAGGGTCACCCCCTCTGCACCCCTTCCTTTCGGCAGGTATCCAAGCCTCCTGCGGTTTTCCACCGCGTGCTGCCCTGCTCTTACTCCTAGACTGGCCTCTCATTCTCTGTAGCCTGAGATTCTGTGCTGTTTCTATGGCTCTCCTAAGTCAAGGGCAATGACCTTGTCTCTAAGTTAATAACAGCAGTTTACACAGTGGTCAACAGGGGGAGCTGTGTCCCCAAATGTAAAGCCCCAACCTTTCTCTAAGCTTCCCAAACCCCCACTGTGCTTTCTCGGGTGTTCCTGATTGTCTTTGGGTAGAGTTGGACAATTTGTAATTTGGGGGTGCGCACACACACACACACACACACACACACATACTAGCCAGTTCCAGGTCAAGGTTTAACCTCTCTTAAAACAAGACAGACAAACTTGGCTGTCTCGTAGGGAGTGGAGGAAGCCTGAGTGAATATATCTGAATATATTTGTTTACAGCCTGAGAGTCCTCTCCTCCAGACACTAACTACACACCAGCCACCCCCCCACCCCCCCACCCCCGTGCTGTACCTAATAAACATGCTGAGGCTCCGGGTTGCCCGAGGTTGGGGGTGCAGCTCCATCAGAGCTCACACCCCACTGAGCCCAGCTGCATACTGCCAGAGCCACCAAGGTGGGCCAGCAAATCCCAGGTCAGCCTCTCAACAAATCAGGCTCCCAAGTAACCGACATCCAAGAGTGGCCTCTGGTCTTTACATACACCTGCAAACATGTGCATAGATCTACACACGTGTGGACATCCCCACACATGCACGCGCGGACACACACACACACACACACACACACACACACACACACACACACAGGAAAAATGAGAGAGAGGATGGAAGGGGACGCTGAGGCTCCGAGTGCCTTACCCAGGACATCATAGGCTGGCAGAACATCAAACTGAACCTCCTGTTGAAGTCGGGGGTGGGGGGGTGGGGGGGAGCTCAGTGTGAAGCCAAGTGCCCTGGGGTTGGGCAAACATGACCTCTGAACCTCAAACTTCACTCTAATACATCCCTCACACTGCAATGCATACAGCTGTTCCCGAATTTCCCGGATGAACTTTCCGCGTTTCTTTAACTGCTCTTCGAAGCTGGAGAGATTGTTAAGGAACACCACCAGGTCGGCGTCTGACCTGCCCTTGAGAGCTGTGCCTTTTCCCGAGGAGCCGCCCTGAAAGACAACGATGAAAATGACAGGCGACAGGCAGAGCCAAGGCCAACAGTCCAGGCCCACAGCAGCCTAGGGGTCCACCACCCAGGGAGATAGTTGAGCAGAGAAAGCTGGCACATGCGCAGTGGAATACTAGTAAATCCCGAGCGTGAAATCAGGATCTATGTAGGAAAATAGATGGTTTTGGATGTCCTCATGGTAGGAGAGAGAAGCCAGAATCAGGATGACAGAAAGCAGTGTTTATCTCTGGAGTCTAGATTTTAATATGGCTCTGAGTGTGTGTGTGTGTGTGTGTGTGTGTGTGTGTGTGTGTGTGTGAGAGAGAGAGAGAGAGAGAGAGAGAGAGAGAGAGTCAGTCTTTGTCTTGCTCAATACTGTTCTCCTTTACTATTTTTCTCAAACCCTGTTTAATATGTGTGTGTTTATAATTTAGACTTAACCCTGTATGTGTACATGGAAGCTAGCTTTAACTCTGTGTGTGTATATATGTAGCTATTGTCTAAGAAAATGCTCTAAACAATCCCAGTGAGCCCTGTTCATGGTATCTCCTTCTAGACTTAAGAAAAAAGTCTCAAGTACTTTAAATTAGCATGTGCTTTTAGATGATGATAAAAATATGTGGTTAGATCTGCTACAGCATACTGCATATGTGATTAAACTCTACTTTAAAATATATTCTATATAATGATAAAAAATTTAAGGTTATAAAGATCTATCTCAGACTAACAAAAGCTAACTTAGAGATGTATACCACCCCGTCCTTCCTGTGAGCTGTTTACAAGGGAGACCTAAAAAGCAAAATTAAATTAAATCAAGCGTAAACTAAACGTAGAAGATTATTCCCTCTCCTACTGTGTGACCTTCACTATTGTCAGTTTTTAGTGTTAAGCTTCTAACAAATAACTACTCAGATAAACCCAATAGACAGAAGTCCTCAAATACTCAGAGGTCTGCAGAATACTGCATTTAAAAAGATTAACTAAAAGGTTTGTCATAAAGAAGGACAGGCCAGCTCCTGGCACCCCCATTCCCTCCAAAGAAGAGGGTTCTGCACAGAAGAACCTCCACCTGGAACTTGCTTCATAAGTGGCAGTGCTAGCCACTGAGGGAAAAAAATGCCTTTCCACCTCAACTGCTGCAAAACCCTCTTCAGACTGTGATCAGCAGGTCCCTGGAGAATAGACTGCCTCAGGTCGCCTAGAACAAGGGTCGGCTGCTCCCCCGAGGAGCCTTACTCCACAGAAGCCTGTGGGGTCTTCTGGGGCCTTGCAGGCCTGCCTCTTCCAGCCAGAAGATGGATGCTGCCCTGAAACCTCTGCGACCACGGGGGATCCTGTGGTGGCTGCCTAGGTAGCCAAGCAATAAGTCTCTGCCATTTCTTTTTTTTTTGGTTTTTTCGAGACAGGGTTTCTCTGTAGCTTTGGAGCCTGTCCTGGAACTAGCTCTGTAGACCAGGCTGGCCTCGAACTCACAGAGATCCGCCTGCCTCTGCCTCCCGAGTGCTGGGATTAAAGGAGTGCGCCACCACCGCCCGGCAATTATTTATTTATTATGTATACACTGTTCTGTCTGCATGTATGCTGCAGGCCAGAAGAGGGCACCAGAACTCACTACAGATGGTTATGAGCCACCATGTGGTTGCTGATAATTCAGGTAAAATTTATTCCTCTCAGGACCTGACGCTGTTGGATGACTCTGCCGCTTTTACAGCAGCAACCAAGGCTTCAGCCGCCTTCTCAGCGCTCTGTGTAAAAATTCAGGTCCCAGGCCTCACTCTCCTGGAGCTAATGCTAAGTCTAGACACAGTTTACCTTGCTCCCAGACTCAGAAAGAGAAACTCACAAGACAGATTTCTCCTGGGTGTTAGGGAGATGCCATGATGACGGGGAAGGAACAGGTGCTTTAAGAGCCACTTCTGCAAAGATAGAAAAACTTAAGATATGAGGATCTCACAATGTTTTAGGGCCTAAGAAGGTGTTTTAAGGTGGGCACATGCAGGTTATTAAGGTGTGTAAATGTAAGTTATAAAGTGTAAGCGGAGTCTGCTAGTTTGTTTTCCTGCCGCCCAGACCATATATGCACACAGAAACTGTATTAATTAAAACACTGCTCAGACCGGGCAGTAGTGGCACACGCCTTTAATCCCAGCACTTGGGAGGCAGAGCCGGGCTGATCTCTGTGAGTTCGAGGCCAGCCTGGTCTACAAGAGCTAGTTCCAGGACAGGCTCCAAAGCTACAGAGAAACCCTGTCTCGAAAAATAAAAAAACCAACCAACCAAACAAACAAACAAAAAAAAAAACCCCTGTTCAGCCTATTATCTCAGGCTTCTTATTAACTCTTACATCTTAACTTAACCCATTCCTATTATTTTGTATTTTATCACGAGGTTCGTGGTTTACTGGTAAGTTTCCGGGGCAGGCGTCTGTCTCCTTCAGCAGCTAAGCTACATGGCGTCTCTTTACTCAGCCTACTCTCTATATATCTTTGTCCATATTTCCCACCTGGCTCTATTCTGCCCTGCCACAGGCCAAAGCAGCTTCCTTATTAACCAATGGTAATAAAACATATTTATAGCATACAGAGGGGAATCCCACATCAATAAAGTTCTGAGGAAAAAGGCTTAAGAGCTGACAGAGAAAGTGATTTGAGACACTTAAATGAAGGAAGCACGTTCCAGATTTCTCTCTCTCTCTCTCTCTCTCTCTCTTTCTCTCTCATTATGCTACTAAGACTCCACAAGCTCATAGTCTTAACTGTAATCAATATAATTCTGATAAGCTATTAACCTAGCTCGGGCAGAGTACTAACCACTGACCTATGCCACTATATTATCATAGCCACAAGCTCAGGATGTTGAGTTCCCTTTAGTTGTTTCCTAACTATAGATGTAAAAGGTCCTTTTCGTTATGCTAAAAACATCTGTCTTAGTTTTCTGGATAGAAGAAAGAGCATTAATGCTTTCAACCAACATCACTTCTGGTGAGCGTGCTGCTGTTTCTACAATTTAAATTCCAATACCGATTATATGCAGTAAAAATTCTGATGTGTCTAAAACTTATATGTCTTTGCAAACTCAAAGAATTCTTGTAAGTTCCAGGAATTTGACTTGGATTCACCTCAGACAGGTCAGACTCACTCCAGATAAGTACTGCCAATGGACAGCCTGTGCCTCCCCAGCTGTCCCTGGTCTTAACACTCCCCTCTCTCAATGACCAGAATCCAAGAAAAAAAAATCCCTAAACTTAACCTTGTCCTCTGCTCTGCCATCATGTTGCCAGGTCCAAGAGACACAGACAGTTCCATAGATCCTGGACAGCAGTGAAACCACCAGCTACCCAGGACATGGCCAGCACTCCAACTTTCTCAGGTTCCCCACATACGGTTGACACCCCGCGAACCAGCAGGAAGCAGTCTCGAGAATTCGTGCCCTCACTTCCCTAACCTGTCACACATAACTCCTCAACCTTTTAATAAATAAAGGGGAGGAGTGTTAGCATCCAGGCACATATGGTCCCTGCACCCTGGATACCCGACAGAGTGTCACCCAGGCAGTACCCGGTTCCTTTAAGAGGCAGAACTCTGCCTACTTGTACCTTTCCTTCCTCTTCATCTTTCTCTCTGCATCCCTCTGTATTGCTCTCTCTTTCTCTCTCCTTTTTTCTCTCTCTCCACAAGGTCACTCTGTGCTTCCTCTCTTCTCGCTCTCCCTTCCCTTCCTGCAGTAAAACTCCCCGTGGAAGCCCTGTCTTCGGAATGGTGTGTCTGTCTCTCATCTGCCATATCGCCCCTTGGCCTGCAAAGGTCCAACCTCCCACCATTTCACAACACCTACCTACTCACTAACACACGTGTACACCCCACAGAGCTGAGCTGACATTACAAAATGACATTTCAGTAGCCATGACAGTGACTATGGGTTAAGTACTGTTGTCATGGGGTCCCGTTTGGCAGGTGGGAAACATGGACAATGAGGCTCCCTCAGTACAGTCATCCAGCATGTGGGGTCTCTGTTCTGTTCTCTACCCTGTGCCACATCTGGGGTGCACATGAGAACACTGGGACACAGAGAGATAGGTAACCCACCCCCACTCAGGGCTGCAGCCTGGCTCCTGAGGGTCCACTCCCTCCTCACCCGGGTCAGCTCAGGCAGAGGGGGACTCACCTTCACCACCTTGGAGACCCTCACAGGGTGGGCAGCACCTCGGAAGCATCTCTCCTTCAGGAAAGCACATATGGTGTTGATGGCTGCTTTAACCTCAGTTCGGAAGATGGTGTCAGGAAGGAGGTGGTCCTCTATGAACTTGTCCAGCTCTCTGGCAGGGGTGTTGCTGAGTTTCTGGGTCATCCTCGGGCCAGCTGTGTTTGCTGACTGTGGCACTGCCTCTGGAGCCAGCTGCACCTTATATCCACAGCTAGTTTCTGTTTCCCAGAAGGGGCGGGGCTATGTGATCACAGCTCTGCCTCTGAGTTCTGTGGCTCCTGGACTCCCTGACACTCTGGTGCTTCAGTGAGGCCTTATGTTTGGATTCTCAAACCCTCATCCTGCAGGAAGCATTTTAACATATTGTTTTATTTTTTTCCTTCTTGGTCTTCTACTGTTACTGAAAGAAGAATGGTTTATAGTCACCTAGACATTTAACAGCAATGCACACACTCACTAAAATGTGAAGAGCAAGTGAGAAACATCCAGAAGATGCTGGCCTCCAGTTTCACCACTGCTGTGGTCGGTGTGTGGCAGGTGACTGGTCCATACCGGGACAATGTGATGAGCTGTCTGCCCAGGCCATGGCGAGCTTGTTTAGCCTTCTGGTCTCACAGTTCCCTGGGTTCCCAGGTGCACACCCATGTGGCCATCATCCAAGACATCATCCACAATGGTTTCACTGCCCCCCACCCCATCTGTCCATCATACAGGACAAAGGGTTCATATTTCATTAATGTGGGGTCTCACTGTGTTGCCCAGGATAGACGTGAACTTGGGTATCTGCAGCATAGGCTCCCAAGTTCTGAGGTTACAGGGGTCTGCCATTCTGTCCAGCTGCCATTATCAGTCAGTTGTGACTCCTAACTTCAATAATGTAAAGTGCTGACTTACACCCAGGACAAATCACCATGAGGAACTAGCCTGTCTCCATCCCTAACCCTCCCTGCCCAGCAGGAGAGGATGTTCATCATGGCAGGGTAGCAGTTGGTCCATACTTGTGATCCCAAGTCCTGGGAAGCTGACACAGAAAATGAAGAGTTTGAGGCCAGTCTGAGCTACATGATGACACCCTGTCCCAAAAACAATCATGCATTCACGTACACACACACACACACACACACACACACACACACACACCCTGAGTCACTGTTGGAATCTCTGCAGAGAGCAAGGGATGGAAGGAAGACAGAGGAAATAACTGAAACATTTGGTCTGTCCACAGTCATGGCCACAAGCCCTCGACGACTTTAAGGAATTTTGTTTTTGAAGAAGCAGGTAGACATGGATACATCATTCATTTCAGAAGCCTGCCCTCATCAAAAAGTACAGTCTTCATGGCCTGGTTGGTAATAAAGGCCCCTTGGTTTACCCTGACTCTGGTAGTTTGAATGTATTGTCCCCATGATTTCATAGGAAGTGGCACTATTATGAGGTATGCATTGTTGGAGGAAGGGTGTCACTGGGGAGGTGGGCTTTGAGGTCTCACGTGCTCATCATACAACACAGAGTTACAGTCCACTTTCTGTAGCCTTCTGAAGAAAATGGAGCCAGCACCTTGTCGGCCTGCATGGCACCATGCTCCCCATCATGATGTTGGATCGAACCTCTGAAATGCAAGCAAGCCACCCCAATTAAATATTTTCCTTTATAGGAGTTGCTGTGGTCATGGTGTCTCTCACAGCAATAGAAACCCTAACAACGACACTGACCTTGCCTGAGGGATGTGATGCTGAAGACCCTTCACATAAGGGCTAGGACGGGGCGACAAGAGCCCAGCTGAGGGTCCTGAGCAGATCTGGGTGAACGCCAAACTAATTATACTTTAAAATATTTTATTGCCTTTATTTCATGTGTGTCAACATGTGGGGCCAGGGGACAACTTCCAAGAGTCGGCTCTCTCTCCTGCCACCATGTGGGTCCCAGGAACAAACTCAGGCCATCAGACTTGGCAACAAACCCCTGCATCCTCTGAACCATCTCAGTGACACTTTTAATTGTTGAATGGGGTCTCATAGTCAAATAGGCCAGGCTATCCTTCAACTCACAGCAATCCTCCTGCCTCAGTCCCCTGAATGCTGGGATTATAGTGTGCCACAATGCCCAGCTCATCTATACCACTTCCATGCCCTCCTGTGTGTGTGTCAAAGAGATATGACATCATCATCATAATAATAATCATAATAATAATAATGAGCAGCAGCCAGGTGTCCCAATACATATTTGTAATTTCAGAATTTGGAAGGCAAGGTCTAAGGATTAGGAGTTCAAGGCCAGCCTAAGCTATATACATATAAATACTGTCTCAAAAGGAAGAGGGAGGATAGCCTACTCAACTGGCTTTCTTTAAGAATCTCAATGTGAGTCTGAAAGCTAGAAGATTCTGGAACACAGGGGAAGCAAGAGGTGGTCTTCTGGTGTGTTAAACATTAGGCTAGGAGGGTGGTCGTCCTGTCAGGACATTTGCAAGTCATGGTTTCCTCATCTGTCTGACAAATGAGTGGACTGTACAAAACATGCACTCAGTTCTAGAATCTCATGTGCATGCGCACACATGCCTGTGTGTGTGTGTGTGTGTGTGTGTGTGTGCATGCACATGTGATGTGAACTTATATGGAGCCCAGAGTTTGACACTGTTAAGCCCTGGACAAGCACTCTGCCAACCGAGCCCCATGCCCACCCTGGCCTTGCAGAAATCTGAGGACAACAGAAGTCACTGCTCAGATGGTGGTGCACCGCTTTAATCCCAGCACCAGGGAGGCAGAGGCAGGAAGATCTCTGTGAGTTCGACGCCAACCCCCAACCTCAGAAAAAGTCACTGCTCTACCTGCCCTTTGCTCGGCTTCATTTGTGACATCACACCAAGCACCAGGCTCGCAGGTGATGTTAAGGGCTGCCATCCATTCTCTCCCTGCCGGCATCTCTCAGGTCTTTTCGCATATTAATTTCCAACATTTGTTCTGTTGCTATGGAGATTCATATACCTTCTTTGAGACCATGCTCCCTAATAGCCTAAAGTCCTTCCGTGAGGTCCCTCCTCCTGGTGCCCTCCCCCCATTGCCTAAATAGTGCTAACCAACCAGGGACCAGGGACTCACCATCTGAGATATAGGGGGTTCCAGGAGGCACTGTGGGTGTGAACAGGAGGGGATCATGACAGGACAGTTCACAGGCAGAGTCCCCAGGGCCAGGGTTCACTCCAACCTCCTGACTGCTGAGGAAACAGAACCCAGACCTGTGAACATTCAAGCACCTGGGAAGAGGGTGGTGTTCCTGCAGCGAAATCAGACATAGAGGACAGGAAGCCTTGACAGGAAGTTACCAGATGAGCCCCACATGCTGACACACCCCAGCTCAAAAAGAATGTCCTGCTGCTGACTTTGACCCCTAGGGTGAGACGTCCCAGTTGGCCAGTCTTCATACAAACCCTGGCACATACGTGTGTGCTCACAGCCCCCTCTCTGCAAAGTGGTATCATGCCTAAGCCTCCCTGCCGGTGGGTCAGAGCCCAACTGGTCTGGATCCAGGGTCTCAACCCTGCTAGAGGCCGTGACCTTAAACCAGACCCTTTACATCCTCCCGGCTCTGGCTCTGGCAAGGATTTTTGTTATTGTTTTAGAGACAGTCTCTTCAGTAGCCCTCTACATAACCAGGCTGGCATGAGGTCACCAGAGATCCTCCTGCCTCTGCCTTCTGAGTGTTGGGATTAAAACACATGTACCACTGTCAGACCATTCCAAGGGTTTGGCATGATGGTTCCAAGGATGTAAACCACACACGGGGGTGGCCAACGACTGACTTCAACGACTGACTGAAGAAAGCCCATGATAATTCAGCTCTGGATCTGCAACATCCCAACTCTCCCTCCCAAAGTTCTACTTAGTTATTCAGCCTTGCAGAATCTTAACCCCCACACCCCCCACGACCATGGCTTTCCTTCTCTTTCTTTCTCCCCTTCATCAGGACAAGATCCTGGGGAAGGGAGAATCAGGGTATCTTACTCAGCCTGGAAACTAGAAATTGCTCCTGAGTTGCTACCCCAGGAAGGAACGTCTTAGCCAAGGACAAGAGCACACAGAACCTCCAACCAAATGCAGAGGTGGAAGAGCATGCAAGGCCCTGGGAGCAACTGTGCAGAGACCCAGAGGTGGATTAAAAACCAGAAGAAACATAGCAAAGGAGTCGGGGGAGGTACAGAGAGCCAGGGAGATGGCAAGGGGGCTGGTCCATTCCCTAGGGCTGCAGGAACAAAGTGTGTTATATGCCTGCAGCAGAGTGACAATGGAGAATAAGGAGACCCAAGGTCAAGACATGAGCGGACTGGTACCTTCCAGTGTCCCAAGGGAGACTGTTCTGGCTTCTATCTTCTGGCTCCTGCTGTCCACTCCCTGTCCACACTGAGTTTCAGGGGCATCTCTCCCCCACTGAAAGGGCTCTTGGAATGCTGTGCTTCCCAGCTTGGCCAAAAAGTCAAGAAGGAAGGCACAGGGTTTGGGAGTCACAAACCTCGGGATCGATGTCAGAACGGACCCCTATCTCAGGTGACCAGCAGTCCCAGAAGCGTCTGCAGTACAAACTGCCTGTCCTGTGTGGCACAGTTACCTGCTCTAGAAAGTGAATATTTCAGATCTATCATGGCCCCTCAGTTCTGGGGTTAGGAAGGTGGAACACTACAGACCACCACAGGCCACCACAGACCACCACAGACCACCACAGACCACCACAGTCCACCACAGGCCACCACAGGCCACCACAGACCACCACAGACCACCACAGGCTACCACAGGCCACCACAGGCCACCACAGGCCACCACAGTCCACCACAGGCCACCACCACCAGGCTAGAAATTTTCTTTTTAATGACACAGAGAGGTCAGGGGTAGAGGTGGAAGGAACAGGGTTCGTGGGTCAAAGCCTCTTTAAACTCTCCATGGTATGGGTTTGAAAACCAAAATTGAACCCAATACCCTATGGGAGGAAAAAGACCCTCTCCCTGCACCACTGGGGACAGCTGAGACCTCAGTCTCTTCTTTTGACTTGACGAAAGGGAGATGGAAGCATCCCCTCCCTGTTTTCCCATTTTTTCCCTTGTGAGGTGAGGATCCCAGCATCCTTAGGGAGGGTGAGTTGCCCTCCACACAGCAGTGAGGGGCCTGGAGTCATCGTTGCGATGACAAGGGCCTCAGACTGGGTTGGGACCTGT